GGTCTGGGGAAGGTAAGGTCCAAGAATCTGCACTTTTTTTTTAGAGAGAGACTTTTGCTGTAGGGTACGTGCGCTCACCTGAGAGACAGAAAGCAAGAAATCACCCTCTCCCCCCCAGAAAGGATGGCCATGCCACAATCTCTTCTCCATTCTCTTAGGATTTGGGGCATGCATACACCATGTGCCTGGTGTGAGTTTCAAGCCTCTGGGTCTGAGACTCAAATCTCAGTGGACCACATGGGAGTTCAGCGCCTCAGCCACCATGGCACTTGCTGGCCCCTGACTATACTACACTTTTATCCAGAGGTTATCACACCTAGATGTACAAATCAACTTGTATTTAAAAAATACAAGTTCCTAGAAATGCACAAGAACAAATCCATTAACAGTTATGGGATGTAGTCCCTAAAACTGTATTTTTCCCAATTTCCCAAAATGACTCATATGACAAACAGCCATTTGACAACTTTGACAAAAAACTGAGATTTTAAGCAAGGAAATATGCTTAGCTTATCTTGGTTTAGGGAATCTGGCCTAAGAAACTCCAGCCCAGACAATTGTATCTGCTCTTGGGGATGGATCTGGGGCCCTTCTACCTGAAATATGTTAACCAGAGTCTTGCTTGATCCTGAGAAAAGTGATTAGGGTCACTCTGCCATAAGAGCAAAAAGAGGCACCAGCATTCCAGAGAGTTGCTCTCTATGAGCTCCTTTCAACCAAAACCTAGAAAATTCAGGGAAGTTTAAGGTCTCTCCAATCAGGGCCCAATTCAAAGAAGCCTAGGGACAGGGCCCCAGAGGAAGAGGCAGGAGGAGAGTTCCTTTAGAAGCTCACTGACTCATTTGCAAGATAGAGACCTGCGGGTGATTTGCAAACTGACAGGGGATCTCTGTGGCAGACGACCCCACATTAGCAGACAAGACGCTAAGGTTGTGAAAATGAACACAATAACCATGGCACCAGAGCCTGGGTCATGGGTACCCCTAGGCAGGCCAGATGGGAAGTGGGTAATGAACTGTTAGAACGTTACAGGAGGGACGCAGACCGTGACATTTTCACTCACTTCTTTGGATTGTTATCCCTCTCGGGTACTCCTGCGGATCTAGGGCAGCCGGTTCCCAGTCATCGGTATTCCGTTCCAACCAGGAGATGAGGGCTGGTTTAGGACCTGCGCACCCTGGGGAAGCAGAACCAGTCAGAGGGCCAGCTCCTAGGACAACGCTGGGTAAAATATCTACCCGACAGCACCTCCTTGCCAAGTTCCTGCCCCTCTCCCCTGACACAACCTGGTCGCAGGCCAAGACTCTGGAACTCCCTTGCCCTCCCCCACCCCCAAGCTCCTCCAACCTTCAGGCCCCGTTAAGTGGATTGGGCCCGGCCTCACCGAGCGCGCCCAGGTGGCCGTAGTTCTCCCGCATCACGTCCCGGTACAGGGCCCTCTGCTCGGGCCGCAGACACCCCCACTCCTCTGGGGAGAAGTACACGGCCACGTCTGGGAACTTCACCGCCCTCGGCCTCCTTCCCCTTCTCCGACTGGCTCCGGCCTCTTCTGGTCCCCGCGCGGAAAGCGGAGCCGAAGGCGGCGCCATTGGCTCCGAGAAGCCGGCGCCACGGTCTTCCCGGTCCCGGCCTTGGCCCCTGGGCGCTGGCGAACCCTGGCTGAGCCCCCACCGGACTAGGGCTGAGCGTGGCCGGAGAGGCCCGGAGGGAATCAAAACCGGCCGCCTGCAGGGCTAATAGCAACCTTTGGCTGTTACTCAGGAAACTCCTGCCCGAACTTGGGTGAAAGGCACCGGAAGATGCCTTCGGGGAAAATGGCGGCGGCGCTACTACACCGCCTTTGCCTAGAACACAGGCAGCTTCCAGCTATCGATTTTATTGACCGGAGCGCCATGCCGGCTTCCTAACCTCTTTGCCCTCAAGTGTAATGGCGCTGTGATTGGGCTTCACGCCCTCTTTTTTTGCCCCCTCCTCTCCATTGCACGCGTTCATTGGGCGGTGATCGAAGATCGAGCGTTCTGATTGGGTACCGGCGAAGGCGGCCTGTTTAAACGAAGCCGACGGATGCGTAAGGGCAAGAAGCTGGATCATTAGTGTCGGCCGACTACATTGAGTTCTGTAGCGGTTTGTAGCGGTTTGGGAGTCCTAGAAGGCCGCTGGGCAAATTTCTTCTGTTTTTTGGCATATTCAGCCTATCTTAGGAGGATTTGAACGACAGAAGCACTGTAAGCAACCCAGAGCTGAGATCACCCTGAGTTCTTTTTTGGGCTTTCTCAGAGGAACCTTCCTTTGGATAATGTACCCTTCCTTGTGGCCCTTTTGGGAAGGGAGTTCGCGTTAGCATTTCCTGGGAGCTGGCGCTATGCCCAAATACTATACATGTCTTCGTATTTATTCCTTTCTACCATTTTGTGAGCTGATGGTTATTCTGGTTCTACTGATGAGGAAACAATCTCAGAGGGATTCCATGAGTTTCCAAGTTTCCTGCTAGAAGGAGGAAAGACAAAACTTAAACTTAGCTGCTCAGACTTTTATTCATGTCACTGAAGTGGGCATCTGTCCTTTGCATTATTCTAATTTGCTTGCTAACTCGGGGACCCACCAGATCTCTTGGTCCCTTCTCAGGTTCAATCTGCATTTTTTTTTTTTTTAAGAAACAGTTATTTTCCTTATCAACTTTATTTCCACTTTGTATAAGAGTCTGTGGAAGGAGGGACCAGCAGTTGGCATAGTGGCTATGTCACTGGACTCCCATGTAGTCCACTGCGGTTCGAGTCCCATACCTAGTTGCTTAAACTCATGCTGGGCACATGTATGTGCGTGCTCAAGATCCCAAGAAGAGAATGGAGGAGAAGGGGTTGTGGTGTGGCCATCCCCCCCTGAGGGGTGATTTTTTGCCTTCTGTCTCTCTGTCTCTGTCTTTCTGGTGAGCGCTCGGCCCTACAGCAAAAACCTTCCCCCCACCCCCCCAAAAAAAAGGGTCTGTGGAAGGGGCTTGCAGGTGGTGCGGTGGTTAAGGCTCTGGACTCCCACATGGCTAACTGTGGTTCTAACCCTAGACCTGACTGCTTGCTTTCTCACTTTCCCCTCTGGGACCAGCAGATGGCATAGTGGTTACTCTGGACTCCCAGGTAGTCTACCACTGGATAGGAGACCAGCAGGTGGTGTGGTGGTTAAGGCACTGGACACTCCCACATGAACAACCACAGTTGGAGTTCCAGACCTGGTGGCTTGCTTTCTTGCTTTCTTTCTCTCTCTCGCTCTGTCTTTCTGGTAAAATTTAAATAAATGAATAAATAAATAATAATAATAATAAAACAACCCTCACACTGGGCACATGTGCATACATGCCCAAGATCCTGAGAAGAGAATGGAGAAGAGATTCTGGCATGGCCATCCCCACAGGGCAGGGTGGAGAGTGTAGAGGGTGATTTCTCACTTTCTGTCTCTCTGCTCTCTTGGTTTCTCTGACAGATGAAAAAAATCTCTCTCCTTAAAAATAAAAAAATAGTTGGTGGAAGAGCAGCCCAAGACCACTGAGTAGTCGTTCCCACCCATTCAGTGGCCTGAGCAGTGGGAGCTGCAGTGGGAGCTGCAGTGGCAGGTCGAGCACTCTAGTCTTCAGTAGAGAACTGCTGGATGGGCACAGAAGGCACCTGTAGGCCTTTAGAACAGTCCATGACCTCAGGCTGAGTAGCAGTAAACTCAGGAACTGGAGAAGTCCATTCACTCTGAAATTCCTCCTTAGTCACTGCTTTTTGACAGCCGTCTGTTCTTCCTTGTCAATCTCTTCTGGAGCTCTGTGAAAGGAGAAATCAGGCATGACCACCCACAGGTGTTCACAGGAGATGGTGCCATGTACGTGCAGAATTTTCCTGGCCAGCATCTACCACATCAGACCCACTGAGTGAACTCTGTTCTGCATAATTTTTAATCATAAATTTTACATGACATTTGCTCAATGTACAAAGCATGGTAGGCAGTTAAGAGAGTCAGGGTTACAGAAATAAGTCATGGGCGATGCTTTGAATGGATTTTACAGTCTAATAAAGCACGTAAATGTACAACTAATAATAGACACAAACTTGTATGTGAAGGGCACAGAAAGTTGCTTATGGAATCAGCCAGTACCTATCCCATCAGACTCCACTTAGGTGTGTTTGTATAGTGTTTGACCAGCTCAATGCTGTCTGTCAGGGGTACTGGGGGTAGAAAAATACTCTATTTGCCACACCTCATACCTCAGTTGGCAACATATGCATCTTTCCCTTTAACCTATTGAGGTATGTGTTTTTTTGGTTTTTTTTTTTTTAGTCTTTTGAGGGTTTTTTTGTTTTATTTTTTCTATTGGTTGTGCATGCTCACTGGAAGGAGACAGAGAAAGCAAGAAATCGCCCGCCAGGGAGAATGGCCACACCCCAATCCCTTCTCCTCTATTTTCCTCTCAGGATTTTGGGCACACGTGCACACATGCCCAGTGTGAGTTTTAAGCCACCAGGTCCAGGACCCCTGCGGTCGACTACGTGGGAGTCCAACAACATAACCATTACACTGGTCTGGACACAGTGTGTTTTTTTTCAAGCTCTGGGTCCAGGACTCAAACTGCATAGTTGGCCATATGGAATCTAGCTGCCTTAACCACCATACCACCTGGTGGCTCCATTGGTCAATATTGATGGGCAAAATACTAGCCACAAAGCCTTAATGGAATGAAGACAATGTGATAGGATAAGTCACAGAACAGGTGGGCCGTCCCTGTGGCCTGGTGGTTAAGAGATCCCGTATTCCGCATAACCAACCACACAGTTCAAAACCTGGCTCCAGCAGTTTGAAAAACATGCTGGGCATGAGTGTACCATTCCTTCTTCCTCATTCGGGACATCCCAAACTGCATGCTATTCTCATAAGGAAGGGTTAAAGTCTTCAGGATTAAGGTGGTACCTCTCTCTAGTGGGCATTTCAGGAAAAACTAATTTCTTTCCTTTTTTTTTCTTCTTAAGTTTCTTTTGCTATAGGGTGAGTGTGCTTGCCAGAGAGAGACACAGAAAGAAAAAAAGTGAGAAATTATCCCCCAGGGAGGATGGCCATAATGCAATCTCTTCTTCATTCTTCTCTTTGGATTTTGGGCATGCGCGCACGTGCACCCAGCATGATTCTCAAGCTTCAGAGTCTGGGACTCTAACAGTACAGATGGCTGTTTTGGGTCCAGCGCCTTAACCACCATGCCATCTGTTGGCCAGAGGGATAATTCTTTCTTTTTTATTTTTTTGTCTTTTTAAGAATTATTTTATTTGGGAACCAGCAGTTAGCGTAATGGCTATGTCGCTGGACTCCCATGTAGTCGACCACGGTTCACATCCCGGACCTGGTGGCTTAAAACTCACGCCGGTCGCGTGTGCGTGCGTGCCCAAGATCCCGAGAGGAGAATGGAGGAGAAGGGATTGCGGCGTGACCACCCCCCCTGGGGGGTGATTTCTCGCTTTCTGTCTCTATGTCTCTCTCTGTCTGTCTGGCGAGCACACGCGCCCTATAGCGAAAAAAAGAAAAAACCTCTCCAAAAAAAAAAAAAAAGACATATTTTATTTAACATTATTTGTTTATTTATTTTAATTTGACCAGAGATGGGGAGAGAGAGAGAGAAAGTGAGAAAGCAAGGTGCCAGGTCTGGGACTCAAAGTGTGGTTGGCTATGTAGGAGTCCAGTGCCCTTGAACACCACACCACCTGGCCCCAAGGGATAACTCTTAAAACACTAACTCCTAGTCCAGCCCCATAACCTAATAGTTAAGGAAACCAGATCCCTCCTGGCTGGCCATGGTTCAAATCCTGGCCTCTCTGTCTTGAAAAAGTCCTCCTAGCACATCATGCATATCCTGAGTCCCAACAGGGATGGGAAATGGAAAAGGGATTACAGCATGACCTCAACCCATAGTGGGAGTGCTTTCTTGGTCTCTCTCGCAATTAAAAAAGTCACTAGCTCCTTCATACTGCTTAACTCAGGACATTGGCACTAGTGAAACATATCTGAAAAATGTCAGGGATGGGGACCAGCAGTTAGCGTAATGGCTATGTCGCTAGACTCCCATGTAGTCGACCACAGTTCGAGTCCCGGACCCAGAAGCTTAAACACGCCAGGCGCGGGTGCAATCGTGCGCAAGATCTGGAGAGGAGAATGGAGAAGAAGGGATTGCGGCGTGGCCATCCCCCTGAGGGGGTGATTCCTCGCTTTCTATCTCTCTGTCTCTCTGGCGAGCGAGCGCACAGGCCCTATAGCAAAAACCTCTCAAAAAAAAAAAAAATGTCAGGAATGTACTGAGGTTTCCTAGGCCTCAGGCATAGAAGCCTGCACTGGGGCTGGGATAGAGGTTTGCCACCCCTCTGACTTGCCCCACCTGTTTGACAGATCCACTGGTGTACTTCTAGGGCACTCTTCTCAAGATCTGGAGAGGAGAATGGAGAAGAAGGGATTGCGGCGTGGCCATCCCCCTGAGGGGGTGATTCCTCGCTTTCTATCTCTCTGTCTCTCTGGCGAGCGAGCGCACAGGCCCTATAGCAAAAACCTCTCAAAAAAAAAAAAAATGTCAGGAATGTACTGAGGTTTCCTAGGCCTCAGGCATAGAAGCCTGCACTGGGGCTGGGATAGAGGTTTGCCACCCCTCTGACTTGCCCCACCTGTTTGACAGATCCACTGGTGTACTTCTAGGGCACTCTTCTGCTTAAATGTTTTCCCACACTGGGGACAAAGGAAGGTCCTTTCAGCAGAATGGAAGTGCCAACGGCCGTTGAGAACACAGGAAGAGATGAAGCAGTGCTTGTACTCAGGACAGGAAAAGGCCCTCAGATGTGCAGGAGTGTATAATTATAGAACCACTTTGCCAGAAGCAGTGGCCACAATCAGGGCAGCCCTCGGGCTTTTCTCTTGCATGGACAAGCTGGTGCTGGAGCAGGTTATTTTTCTGGGCCACGTGGGTGTTACAATGGTCACAGGAGTAGGGCTTTCACCAGAGAGGACTTACTGGT